ATACTATTATCTACAATTTGGTGTGTTCTTCATTTGCTTATATAGTACTAGCGGAAGTACCCGATGTTGGTTGAAATAATTTGATAATACATACTTGACATATTAGGAAATGACATCGTTATGATCTCCTATCAGTTATCGGGCTTCGATATCGCGAAATGAGTTCAGATCACTTTTCCTTTTCAATTGTTGCTTTCGTGATTTTTAATTTTTGAAAATGTTTTCATTCTTTTCGATGTTCTTTTTGTTTGATCGACTACTTTTATTAGGAAAAGACTGTGTCTAATGAAATACAATTCTTATTGCAAAGCTGTTTGATATACAATGTTCTTGGTTTTCGTATCAGGTGCAAAAACATACAAATTCTTTCCAGTTCCAACTCTTGAGCATGCCACGTAAAGTTGGCCATGAGAAAAGCAAGGAGTTTCTAAATTGACACCAGCACCTTTAAGTGATTGCCCTTGGGCCTTATTAATAGACATTGCGAAGGCAAGCCGTACTGGAAACTGAAGTCGTGTAAATTCAAATAGCATATCAGAAGGGAGCAAAGGTATTTTTGGTATGAATACATCTTCACCTTTTGCACAGCCTGTCATGATCGTTGCTTCGATTACATGAGGCATTAGAGTTTTGACACATAGCCTTGTACCATTACATAATCTTGGTGCATCCAGATTTCTTAGGAGCATAATAGAAGATCCAATTTTCAGACGCAAGTTATGTGATGGCATTCCAGAAAGTTCGAGTGAATTGAGAAACTCAGTTGGATACTGAACTACCATGTCGATATCTTTAACTGTATCAATTGATTTGTAAGATATAGCTTCACCAGGAAGCTGTTGCTGAATTTGTAGACTGATGGCATTTACGTTGACGTTTTTCGGAGCCAGAATAGCACGTTCACATAACCATTTGTGATCCTTGTAGTGAGTTTGAATGTTTGGAAACACTTTACTCTTGAGTTCTTCGACTGATTCAACGATATTACAAAAGTTGTCTGAAATGTTAATAAGTCCACTGACTGGGTCAGCAGGTATTTTGCCATTTCCAATCGCGAGAAGTTGTTCAGCGAAACGGCCGGCAGATACGTCATCTTGTAAGTGCACTCTCATGTTAGTACTGAGTTTTAATGATGCAACATGTCTCCAAAGATACGAAGATTTCAAGCAAGCTTTAGGCTCATCAGCCATGGTACCCTTTGGAATAACTGGTAATGTTTGCCTAAAATCGCCAGCAATAAGTACAACTACTCCACCCATATTCTTTCCATTGTTACGAAGATCTTGTAAGGTATGGTTCAAAGTTTCTAATGCATACCTATGAGCCATTGTGCACTCATCCCATACAATAAGTTCACATTCTTGCAGAACCTTTGCTTCGCCAGTTCCTTTGGTAATACTACAGAGATGAGTTTGATTTTCCAAAACCTTAAGAGGTAACTTTAATGTCGAGTGCGCAGTACGACCACCGTGCAGCAGCGTAGCAGTGATACCGGAAGAGGCGACCGCAATCGCAATCTTTGACTGATGCCGGGTTTTAGCCAATAACAAATTAATGACAAATATCTTCCCTGTTCCACCAGGTGCATCAAGGAAGATTATTCCACCAGCTTTCTTCTCGATCTGATCCAAAATCGCATTGTATGCAGCTCTCTGATCCGGCACCAACAGTGGCTCATTTGCTGTTATATAAGCATCCAACTCTTTCACATCATAACTTGTTTCTCTGAGCATTGCACTGTTTAATCGATCACCCGAATTTCGTTGAGGAGTTGGGAGCTCTAATTTCTCAAGTTCTTTGTCACCCATCTCTAAAACTTTATTTTCAATAATAATCAGTGCTTGATTAAACATATCTGGTGTATAATCCAAATTCATTCCAGGATTTTGCCTGCGAGCATTTCTCAGAATGTCTTCAGTCAAGCTTTCTTTGTACGACTCCCATAATTGTTTTGGATTGGATGGTCCACAAACAGCTAGTATAAGAGCAAATAGATTTCTTAATCTTGCTGGCGATTGAGCTGCAGCTGCTTCGGACATGGTGGCATCCCATTGCTGATCATCTTCCAGTAATCCATGTAATTGACATGCTTCACGAAATGTTGCACAGATCTGACCGTTTACAGTTCTAAGAGCTTCAAATGAAGTAGGGCCTCTGACCACATGAAGTAAGAGTCGTAGGAAAAAGCATTCGAAATTATTAGGATGCACAGTGTAAACACGACCCAACGCATCTCCTTCTCTAATGTCTGGATGACCAAGCACAGCAGTTCCTTGAACACGCCGCTTAAACACTTTTTCAGACGCGTTCCATGTGTAGTATTTTGGAACATCACAGTACAACAGCGTTTTGGCAAAGTCGTCTTTCTGGCAGAGTAAGAAAAATGCTGTTAGTGTTGTTCTTGGTGGTTCATTAACTTTCTCATGAACATTATCTTCGGTGAAATAAATGCGTTGACCATTTTCCAAATGAACAGCCAAATGAACAACGGTTGGATATCGTTCGTGAATTGGAAAATCCAAGATTCGCCAGACTGCCTCATTGCTACTGATGTATCTACCTAACTGGTAGTTACTAATTTCATCAACTGGTGCTCCATCTCTTCCCAAACCGAACACTGCCTGATCACTGCCCTTGTTGACATATTTGCAGATGTATTTGATTGATTTTACCGAGTTGCAATATTCCACATTAATGTGGGCCTGAAAGATCCGAGAGAGTAGTGGACAATATGGCACAACCCACTTGTTGTCAATTTCAATTTCTTGAATGGAGTTATTAATTCGCATTTTGATTTTGGCTTTGATACCACCATCTTCTGAACTTCTTCTTCTATACGATGGATATCCATCGTCACCGGTTTCTGTATCATGCAAGAGTTGTTTTGGATATCTTTTTGTACACTTTTTGTTTTCCATACACGGAGAGTTTGGATTGATACTTCCACATGGACCGTGAATCATAGTCTTGATAATTATTTCAAATAGTCGAGGATCTCGTTCAGGATCAGGTAGTTCTGCGCTGACCACGCTATCTATTTGATCCGCTTTAATTTTGTTCTTCAGCCATATCAAAATATGAGCATGTGGTAGCCCTCTCTTTTGCCATTCAATAGAATACATCCAGCATCTTGTTGGCCCAAATACATGGCTTTTGGTAATAATGTTGACCAATTTAATGAGCTTTTGTCTGAACACTCTTGCTAATAGGTCATGACGATCAGAGGGAGCTTGACCTTCCATTAATTCTTCTTGAATTTCTTGCCACTTAGGATTGCAGGTGAATGTTATAAAGAGGTCGGGTCTTCCATGGTTTCTTACATAAGTCATAGCGTCTTGTGTATACTCATGCATGTGCCGGGGGCTTCCAGTGATAGTTGCTGGTAGAATCACTAATTGACCAAGATTGTTAGCACGTCCATCGTTGGCTATAGCATCTTTCACGTGAATGTATTCATCCACTCTAAGCTTTTTTTGATTATAACGTAGAAAAGATAATCTTTCACTTTCGATCTTAGCGTACATGTCAACCACATACTGATGGAAAAGTTGTCGGCACTGTAAGATATGATTGACAGCATCAGTTCGTACCATAATTCTGTAAGCATAAAAACTCATAGCCGACACTTTTTTGCCAGTGACAGCCATTCCAGTTGTTGGATCAGTCTGTTCGATAAGAAAATGGTAGCCATCCTCACCTTTTCAAAAGATGAGAGGATATTGCAAGGCATCATACGATCTGTGTGTCTCAGATACTCTCTGTAACTGGCCATTTTGCTTCTCCAAGACAATATCTCGTTTCTCAAAGTCGTTGCCAGCGATGACAACCGCCACCTCATTTGTCACTGGCTCATTGAAACGACGTGCATGCTCTCCGGCAGGTTTCATGTCTGCTCGAATAAGCACCTTGTATTGATCTGTAGGCATTCTTTGAAGGGCAGTCTTGAAAAGATCAACATAAATGTGGTGCTCATGAATCATTTGCTGCAATTTCTCGACAATGTCCTGACGTACGCCAGGCATGTTTTTGCAACGTTGTTGTACTTCTTTTTGATCGTCGCCCATGAAGTAAATTTGAAGAAATTTATGTTCTTCATTCGAAGGCGGCAGCAGAGATCCTACGCGATGATATACTTGACCCTGAACTCTGAAATTAGGCATGAAGCCTGAGTCAGACACTTTCTCTGACATGCCAAAAGATGTCATTTGAAAGCAGGAATTGTATTTTCTAATGTTATCCAAAAAATGCTTCGATTCAGGCGTTTTTCCTGACATTAATGATTTCAGTGGTTCAGGAGGAGGCTGAAGTTCAGGTAACTTTACTTTACCACCAGAACAGCACATACCTCGTGTTTCTGCATGCCACTTGAGGGCATTACAGTATGGACAAACATCGCTCATTTGTCCAATACAAAGTTGAGGATGGCTGCCATAGTTGTTGGCTGGATCATACCGAAACGCTTCCCCTTCCATAAATATCCATTGCGTTGCCCTTGAGGCTGCTTGTCGTCTACGCTGATCTTCACTTCGAGTCCGTCTCTGTATTGGATCCTCAGCTACTCTTGAAGCTGCATGTCTGGCTCGATCTTCTTCCCGTCGATCTTGTCTCCGTTCTGGAGATTCAGCTGCTCTTGAAGCTGCTTGTCTTGCACGTTGACCATCAAGTCGAGTGCGTGTATCTTCAGAACCTTCAGCTGCTCTTGAAGCTGCTTGTCTTGCACGTTGACCATCAAGTCGAGTGCGTGTATCTTCAGAATCTTCAGCTGCTCTTGAAGCTGCATGTCTGGCTCGATCCTCCTCTCGTCGATCTTGTCCCCGTTCTAAAGGTTCAGCTGCTCTTGTTGCTGCCATTCTTCTTGCAGCTGATGTACTTCTTCGCAAAGAGGCTCTTTTTTTTACTGGCATCACGTAATATTTTTATCTAAATAAGAAATATAGAAAATAGAAAAATGCTCCGAAGAGAATGAATTTGCAATCTTACCTTTTGAATTTACTGTTGATATCACGATCGAAAAATATTTGGTAACCTGTAAGCTTATAATTTTTATATGGAATATTGGACACTTACTCGTTTTTGGACAATTATGTTCAGTGATAGAATAGAATATTGATTTTATTAAAAGCGTTGAAGAATAAGAAACACTATAGTGAGTTTAGTTTTATTAATAAAAAACAAAAGAAAAAGATGCCTATTTATATAGATGCAAAACAATAG